AAAAAGGGCTTGGGACGCATACATTTAGAAAGTGCTATTTTCATTGGATAATATAGGACCAATATCTATCAATAATTCGTATCAGTATAAAGAATTTTGCATATGATGGGGTTCGTTTAACATATCCAAGATAGAAAATTCTGTTATATATTTCCACTGTCAACGAACCTATCAATTTAAGGAGTTTTAAGGAGTTTATTTATTTTTCGTTTGTATGCTACATTTTACTAGATTACACAAGATAAAGTGTCAACCATTAAAATCTGAATGTTAATTATAGCATTTAAAATGTTAAAATGTTATCATGCTGGCAATTTCAAAAACAAAATTTTAAAAAAAGTAGTATTTTCTCTACTTTATATAATTTGTTTCATTGGATTGATATCCTTAACTCTTCTTTCATTCATATGTAAATAAACGCATCATAGATACCAAGATGTAAACAAGACGCATTGGTTTGATTCACAATCTACTAAGCACAATTTCTTTGACTTCTCGAAGATGTGCAACTGACTTCCAAATGTTTATCTAATAAATTGCCCTTGGATATACCATATTTTTCAAAATCGGAGTTTAATGAATAGTTTCAAACAAATGTTTGTATATTAAAAAATCTTTTAAACCTGGATTTACAATATATTAGATCAACTTTCGGGAAACAGTTGCAAATTATTTGTTTTTAAATTTAAAGACTGTTTAAGGTAAAAAAAACATGTTGCAAAATAAAAATGAATGTGTATCGCAATTACCATCATAGCCACACTAAGTTAAAATTCAGCGACACTGGATTGTGGATTTCGGTAGAATACTATAAATAGCTTGAAAATTTATAATTTTTGGTCTAAAAATATATATGTAAAATCCCTGTAACGGATATATATATATTTCGAATTTATTATTGTTTTCAACAAGTTCTTTCTTTTTACATTAATTTACTATACTTGAATATGATCGAGAAATATTTTCAGTGATAAAGTTTGTGTATCATTAAAAATTGTTTATCATTAAAGGTTGTGTATCTTTCTTTTACGTCACCAAAACTAATACTTTACAATGATTTTAATGGAAAATATATATCATAAAAAGAACAATTATTTCGTAATAGTTAGGTACTTCTTTACTCCTAAAAATGTAAACATGAAATTAAGAAGGCTTTTAACGTCACAGTACCCAAATTGCACATATTCAACAAAAATAGCCGCGGGCATTTCTTTGAGACTGACAATTCGTGTTTTTATTATTTGACATTATTCACGTCTTTTGACATAGGTAAATATCTTTAAATATATACACAAAACTTTCACAGTATATATCAACAGATGAAGCATTCACTGAAAAAGTCAAATCTACGGAAACGTCGCCATGCACAAAAGTCATCTTTTAAAAATGAGCAAATAAAATATGTTACAAGCATCCATTTCTTAAAAAAGGAATATTAAGCATGGACTAAATTCAAATTGTTCTAAATATTTAAAGAAATAAAACAAAACATCTGTTTTTCAATTTTTAAGGATGTGAATTTAAGCATGGATGCAATTTGGGTACTCCTCACTACAGAATCATGGATCGTTTGGAGGTCGGTTCAAACCTGTTTTTCTATAATTCAGTATGGATTCAAAATTAAACTGGTATAATTATATAGTAAATAAGGGGACGTCTATAAAATAAACACAGAATGGAAACTTTTGCCTGGATCATAAATAAACGTAGGTAAAAAAACTGTCAAAATAGGTGTGATTTGAATACCCTCACGTTAAATATCATAAATACAATAATACTTCAAAATTAAAAAAAAAAGAGAAGAGGTTTAACTATTTGCAAAAAATGTATTCAAGGTAAAATATGTCCATGTTCTGACGATTTATACAAAATATTTATCAAACCTGTATGACATTGTGGTTAATTATACGTTTCTGTCAAATCGCCTTTTTAAAGTAATGCTTCTTTATGTAAAGTTTACTTTTATGATAAACATCTTTAAAATCATTTTTATGATTAGAATATTTTAAAAGTGTACAATGTATGAACGGTTTTAAATGGAAAACAAATATATACAATTATCTTCTTTGACGAGGTAAATGTGTTGTGTTGATTATTTCTTTAAAAATTGAGATCTATTGCATCAGACATTGTTTTTTCATTCGCCACTGCTGTACCACGATTAAGAGTAAGGTTGGCCAAGGTGCCCATTAGAAAAAGTTGTGAAACCCCAAGGATAGTTTCCACCTCTAGAGGGAAAGATTAGAGTTTATTGAACTTCACTCATTTGTCCTTTAATAAAGATCCAGCAGCAACTAAAAATGCTTTGCTGTGCCAAGGATTCCAAGACGCAAGTCTGTGATTACTATGAATTTAGATATAGTGCGAAGTTTTTAAAAATGCCAATAATGTCAATGGGTGAGTATTGCAGTAATAAGAACTCGCATTAAAATTGATTTTTTTTTTAAACATATATCAGTATGCGGATTTTCCTGAAATCGCAATACTAGTAATATCGCATGAACGTTCATTCTTCAAAAATCGCAATTATATTAAATGCACGCAATAATTTCTGAATTAACAGTACTCTTCAACCTACCATGGTTGAATGGTTAAGAACCAGGCCCTTTACAGGTTTTGTCCCTATATATAGCTGATAAGGTATCATATACCTTATCACTGGACGGGTAAGAGAGAAGACGTGTGAATATTAAAATCCATGGACATAATCTGAGACGCGAAAGTTGTAAGACCAAAGCCATTGTATTTGTTCCCTGCAATCTTAGTGGAATGAAACTTAGAAAAGGTCTCATTCACAAAATAAAGGGCTGAAAGGATATTCTCCTTTACCTAACCTGAGCATACCATGAAATTAAGTCAGAAGGGTATAAAGGGGAGGAGAGGACATGAGAACCTCAGACATATCACGACTAATAAGGTAAACCCTACTTTTCAGAGTCTCCCGAGTTTCAACATAAAACCATAATTATCTCCCTAAGTGGCAGACTAACAATTCAAAGCTCTAGAAGGAATGTGCCTTCTATCTGAAACACTTGCACATTTGGCTTTTCAGTGTAACAGAGATAACATCTTCCATGTCAGTTTCTCTATTATTGTCACTTTCACTGGCTCTGAAGCTACCAATATAATGCTGTTTTTCTTTTCAAGAGAAAGGCGATTATCCCATTCAAGGTATTGTGCCTTAGCGGTTTCTATGACATTGGGTCATAGAATAATGCAATGCCTTTATATCTTCTTTAATAGAAGATCCTAAAGGATTGACTTGACCTAAATCGAATATAGTGCACTGTATATGTGTCAGAAAGAGGTATGGCTGGTTTAGACGGTAGGAATAGTTAAACGGCCACCTAAACATATGGAAAGCATCGCTCCTCAAACCTGAATGAAATACACAGCTACTCACCACACTACTGTCTACAGTATGAATAAGAAGATATGGTATGAGTGCCAATGAGACAGCTCTCCATCCAAGTCAAAATGTATAAAAGTTAACAATTATAGGTCAAAGTACGACCTTCAACACGGAGCCTTGGCTCACACTGAACAGCAAGCTATAAAGGGCCCCCAATTGACTAGTGTTAAATAATTCAAATAGGAAAACCAACTGTCTAATCTATATAAGAAACGAGAAACACCTATGAACCACATTAACAAACGACAACCACTGAACAACAGGCTCCTGACTTAGGACATGTGCATAAAAAGGCCTATTAAAGGTATGAGTGCTCTGAAGACAATTTAATTTTAATTATGACGCAAATGGTTCTTGGGAACTAGAGAGGGGATTTATTAACTAGAATCAGCAGGTGCCAGTATACCTATCTGGAATCATCAACAGTTTCACCTACTGCAGCAGTAGTAGATATGGGAAACTGTGAGTTGTCAATTAAACCCCTATCCCAAAACTCATATGAAGTGGTGGCTGAACACCATTGAGAAAGACCTAGGCCTATTTCTTCTCTTCTGTTGTCCATAATGTATTATAACTAACTGTATTACCTTACTATGATACTTATATAATTGCACAATACTTGTTTTGTCAGTTTACTTAATTCTAGAATCAATTATCGTGTGAATTTTTCGCATGCTCTTAGCTGCAGGAGAACCTGAAAAGTGATGAAGATTATGGGCTCGCATGCGCCGCATATTGTTGGGGTTGTCTAGGGGAGGTTTTGTTTGTGTTATGTCTGTTTTCTGTTCAAGTGAGCAGCAAGTGACTGTTTTATCAAAAGTTATGATGGTAACGTATTTACCGAATAAAATTATCTCACTCAAAATATGTACTGGTTTAAACCGATTACAGTTAGTTGTTACTTTTCATAAATAATTTATTCAATTCATGCATCAAACATAGTTACATTTATTTTTTTTTTCATAAAGGTTAAATGTACCATTATTAAATAAACATTATTGTTTATCTTTAACTTAATAGAACAAAGTATTATATTTATTGATCTAGATATAAGCATTATTCGTAACATTCGATGCTTATTTTAAATTAAAAATTTTCAATTTTTAATTTATTCTTTTTTTTTACACCAACTCTAAGGACACAGTTTATGTCATCCTAGCTAAAATATCTTCGATTTGCTTGCTTAGTCATGTCATAAATCTGTCAAAAAGTTATCCTAAGTCATTCATAAGAACAGCATCAATAACCAGACCCCTTTGTATTTAACATGATTTTTTAAATAAGAATTTTTCAGTAGTGTCAGTCTAAGTAATTTGTGTTTTTTTAAGTATATTGTCAATGATTATAATGTTAGATGCAATTTTACATATAAATATTACCCAAAAATTTATACTAAAAATAATTAACTCCAAGGCAAATTAAAAAAGGGGAAGTTTATAAAACCTGACTTGGTACAGGCATTTCCAATTCAAATGATTCTATCGGTTATATCTATAAATAGCGTTTATAAAGATAAAACTTTTAAATTTCCTTATGTGCTTTTTATAAATATGTTACTCATACAGTCATATGTTACTCATTTCAACGTAAAATAATCTCAGCGTTAGAAAGTATTTTCAAGGCAGTATTGCAAAGGTGTTAAGTGATCATGTAAGTCATTCTACCAATTTTTAATGATTTATTCGTATACATATCCTTAATTGAGTTACAATACATAAACAACGCAATGTTAAATGCAAAATGAACAATGAAATATTATTATAGAAACACTAAATTCAGACGTTTTAAATTTTATATAATTTAGAGATATTTATCACTTAAAATAATCAGAACACATAAATGAAAAAAAAATATAGTATCTTGAAATTTTAAAACAAATCCAACAGTGACATTGTAAGGACTTTGCATACTGCAGTTAACATCGGTTGAGAAAAAGGAGATAGAGTTTTATATTAGAGAATTATAATGAATCATTATTTAAGAATTGAAATCTTTTTTAATTTGATTGTGGCGTAAAAGCGTTGAACGAAGCATACTTTGTAAGAAGCGCGTAACAATCCTGGAATGTTCGCATGTTTAACACTATAAAATCAAGATTCTTAAAATAACATGTTTAATCAAGTATTTGTTTGGTGGTTTTTTTTAATGCATTTTTTAACGTTGTCACGAAGAGCACGTGCAGTCAAGGATGTTGCATTTTATAATATAAACAATATAACTTTTGTGATATGTCGACCAAGGAAAATTTAGGAATCATATGAAACTTCTATGTATTGTAATTATTATGGAATGTTTTTAAATTCCATCGGAATTTAATTGACTCTAGATATATGATTGCAAAACAAATTAATTATGGTTTTAGTTTGTAAGCTTATGAAATAGTCGAACTATATCTTCTCAGTTTTTCTATCCAGCAAAATAATAATTGTTAAGTATATTGAACTAGGTTAATTCAGTGTGCAAATACACAGTATAAAACGACACCACAGTTTAGAGTAAATTTTAACATGAACATGAATATTTTATGATAAATCGAAAATTTTCAAATTTGTATTCTAAATTTATGGAAATAAAACCCATGTGACTGTAATAGATTATGTTTACAAGAACTAACTTTCTCAAATTGTACTTCCTTTTTGTAAAACTTTTACCGAATATGATAAAAATAGGAAATTAAGGAAGTTTATAAATTTCCCGACTTTTCACAGTAATTTAATGTTCTATAATTGATAAATTGATCCATACCACTTCGAAACACAAACTTTTGATATAAATCTGTAACTCTTATTATAATTAATGTTAGTACTTTGATAAATATCACATGTTTTGTTTTCTTAATACTAGGTGGTAATGTTTGCATGAATGCGTTGATAATGAATAAACAGCATGTATTAGATACACCTATGAGGATGTTACCCCGATTGGGTGTATCTAAATATAATTGTCAATGCAGAATGATAGTTTTCGATATTTGAGGAGGCGGGTCTTTCAGCGCTTTGACCATATGTTATTGAAAAGCATGATAAATGCAGGGTATCTAATTTCATTAACAACATCTTGGTGTAAATGATAATAAAAAAGGCATTTAATTATTTGCTAACGTGTATTTGAGTTATAATAATGCAGTATTTAGTTCAAAAGAATATAAAAATTCGCCATTAGTTTAAACCATCATCGATCATGTAAAACGGCTACGTTTTGTGTAATATCCAAATGTTTAATATGAAAAGTGAAATTGTGCAAATCATTTTGATGAAAACATTAGTAAATGTGATCAAAGATCCCATATTTCATCAGTATTTTTGCAGCTTATATGATAGGTTTTCTGTATGGGATTGTTGTACACAAATAAAGGGGCGATGTGTCTTTTTTGTTATCACCTGTAGTTTGGTTTTATTTTTTCAAAACCAGGATGAAGCACTACATTGATTGACGGCATTTATTGTTTTTTTTCCTTTTAACATAACAGGTATAACATGCATTATTATAACTGGGGTTGTGAGTTCGAACCCCGCACGTGACAGGTGCGCTCGACTCCAATCTTAATTGATAAGGATTGGTCAGTTTTCCTGCTGAAGGTCGATGTGGGTCCCTCTGTCCACTGCGGCTTCCTCCACCAATAAAAACTGACCGCAACGAAAGAGCCAATAGTCGTAGAAGTGGCTTTAAACACCAATAAATCAATCAAGCAATGCAATTTTATAAAAATTTCGCCTCTAATTTTGGGAGTGCATATAGTTTCAACAAAATTTTATGTAGAAAAGATCTACAAAAAATGAAGTTGCTTTTTGTACATTATTTGTTCATTTTCTAATTGAATTTTCTTTTTTTTTTCTTCTTCTTTCCGCAGTACCTTGTTCATTTCTTCCGTTTCTGGTACGAGAAATAAACAGTATCTCCGACAATTTATGTATAGAATGAACACATGCAACAAAAAGTTTTATAAGTTTTTTTTTTTATTGTTAAGTTATTCGAACATTTACGTCGGTTCTTGTGTTGTTGTTGTTCCTTCGATATTTGATTATAAATTGACTACTCAAAAATTTAATTTGAAAGAGTTTGTATATTTATTTCACAGAATACCTGACAGGTCTAAGCTTGATGCAGTACATCAGAAGTAGTACAAATTACACTGCTTTGCCAAGAAATTTTCGATATCAGTTTATTTAATTTCTGAGTAAAACGATATAAAGTTTAGTCTGTTCAAGTCTACATATTCTAAAGGATTTGTATTCACAAAAGAAAAATAACTCTTTAAGATTCTTTAAAGCAGAGCTTTGTCATGTTGATAAATGATAAAAAAACACTATAAAAATCAGAGAATATGTATCGATCACTTGTTTAAACTTTATTATACTCTGTACGTACAATTTCAGTAGAAGCAAGGTTATCAAATATTCTTTTGAATGGAATAAGCAGCCCGACGTGTAGCACAAAGCGATTAAAAACTCATAAAAGACAAGAACTAACATTGTATAATAAAGAATAAAGAAAAAAATAATTATCAATTACTATTACCATCATTAACAAACTATCGATGACTTTATTTTTAGGCGAATTTGTTTTCGAAGAATCGAACATGCTAAATGATACACAATCTGCTTTGACACCGACTAATAACAATGATAACACAACTGAATCACCAAAATGGCTCATTTTTGGAGTGATTGGCATCGTGTTATTTGTAATAACTCTAGTTATAGTTATACTTTTCCTATTTCGACGAAAGTTATTCACAAAATGCATGTCGGGTGATTCAGAGAGTTCTACAGATAACATAGACCAAAGAGAGGTAATGAATTTCCCGTTGATTTTCGATTTATGTTATAATATTATACTACGTTTGAACTTGAGTAACCGAAGAAAAAGTAATAGTCGAAATGCATATCTGGTGCAGTAAAATTGGTACGTTAATGTTATTAACAAGCGACAGTAGCAGATTTCATATCTTTTCTGAAAAACAAGATAAAGTTATGTACGACACTTCAGAAGCACAAGCAAGTTGTGTTGCAATGTTTAAAGTAACGCATGATGTGATAGTATTTTATATGAAAATCAAATCAAATACTGTTCCTTTCGAGCATAACTGATGAGTGTCTGTAAACGAAACGGGCGTCTTACGTAAAAAAATATAAGCCTGGTTTCTTTTAGGATTATTTAATGTCTGTTAATTCTTACAGCAAACCGCAGTAGTTGGTATATAAGTCATTTGGATGTATTTTACTAGTATATCTAATAAAATGCTGACACATAGGATACAATGTTTTGACCAAAATCAATTACTACACAATCGAATATTCAATATTCATATTTGTCACGTTTGATGCGTATGATGCGTATTTTTTTTATATATAGTTTTTATTCATAAGGAATGCTCACAGATCAGTATTAGGGCAGCCAAACAATTCTTATCTATACCATGCCTTTGTGTCTGTACCAATTCCGCATATGACAGTTGTTTTTCAGTCGTTCGGTTGGTGATATAATCGGCCTGTTGGTTTTGTCAGTTTTTATGGACTATCCCTTTTTGAATTGACCTTGGAGTTCGTTAGTTTTTTTGTTATTACATTGTTATAAATCCTGATTAGAAGTATTCTATCAGCTTTTTTCGTTCAGAACATCTATATACAGTGATCACTTAAAACGTTTCATACTTCAATAGAAATACAGTAGCAAATGTTATGAGGAAAATTATACTTTAAAATGAGTAAAGCCGAGTAAGACCAAATAGATGTGCTTGACTATTTCGTACTAATATGACGTTATTTGAATAAAAAGGGTTGTTGTAATGCATGTATGGAACTTTTAATACAATTCAATTACACAGATAATTTTTCGTACGAGCGTTTCCTTAGTTTCTGTTTGTTACTTTGAATTTTGTCTTAATCGATTTATGAGATATGAACATCGGTTAAGTCCTGTTGCTTTAATTTAATGTATTTGAAGTTCTGATGTTGCATTATTCGTTTTCATTGTGATTTATGACAGTATTGCATTCACAATATAGCTCACAAGCTATTTCATTTTTGGGTACTAGTAAGTTATTTTTGATTTTTGACTTTTGGTTTTTCTTCGGTTCGTATCAACAAAAATAGAATTTTGTAGATCAACAAAATTATTGGGGAAATAATCGATTCATGAAGTTGATTTTTTTCCAACTGCACATTAGCCATCTCAAACTATAAATAATTTGTAAATTAAGATAATGGACAAAAGGAAATATCAATATTGTTTATTCTTTGAACAGCTCTCGAATTTTCAATTTGTAAATACATAAAGTTGTTTTACTCCGAATCTCTTTTTTTTTGTTTGAGGTTATAATAGAGTTTTTTTTCAGCAGGCAGAAGTTCACGAGAGACGTAAAAAGAATGATGACACAGTGATTGAAGAAGAGGTTGTTGAGGTTTGAACTTTGTTTCTTTATTTTTCACATAGCACTATCCTATCCCGCTGTTTACCGCTCTCAAAAGGGAGGCAAAGAATAAGGGAAGCTTAGACCAGTGCATAAAATTCGATCTCAGAAGTGAGTGTTATACTTTCTTGCTCCTCGTAAAAAATGATAAAATCAAACAATATGTAATATCAATGACCATGCAATTTCGCTAAATATTTAAATAAAGACAAAGTGCTAGTGTATATGAAATCAAATGCACAGCAATTAGCATGATTAGAATAATTATGTTATCATTACTTTTCCTTATAAAGTGATTAAAGTTGAACTATAATTTAAGTGTCATTTATTGATACATTTTCAGTACCTGATCAAATCGTGGAAAAAATTGTTACATATACAATTTATCAGTCTTTTTTTTTTCTATGATGTGTACTTTTGTAGACTTTTTTTTTGTCTTTTCGTCGTTATTTGTTTTATCATGGCGTTGTCAGTTTGTTTTCGACTGATGAGTTTGAATATCCTTTTGGTGTCTTTCGCCTCTCTTTTAAATACATATAATATTATATTTTTAGCCTCACCATTAATCGTCTAGTGGTAGGTAATATTGATTTAATAATGTTTTGGCTTGTATGTGTATATTGTTGTTGTATAACCTGAATGTATGTAACACTTGTATGATTATCAGTATTAAACCAAAAATGCTTTATTATTCCAATAATTTTTTTTAAATTTTAAAGGTAAAACATTTCTAGTGTTCAACAACAGGAACAATGTAATTTACTTTAATTATGACCAAAAAGTAGTTATGTCTAATGAATGGCAAAGATAAGTTCATCTCTTTAAACCATCAAACAGAACTTAAAAATTGTAACAGAATATAAATAACACATAGCTGAGAGGGTGATATATAGCAGACTGTTACCCCGAGAAAACATTGTCATCGGAGGCGAAGCCAAGGTTGACAATGTCTTTTCGAGGGGTAAAAATCTACTCTATCACCCTCTCAGATATGTGTTATTTAATTTATTATACTGAATGTTCTGTTATTACTGTCTTTTAAATATCAAATTCAAAGAAATAAACTATAACGTCTTGTACATAACAACAATTCGTATTTAATAAAGCGCTCACTTGATCAAGCGTCTCCATGAAGGGTAATAGAGTATTTGCCACTGATAGAGTAAATTATCTACCTCGTATTAACCAATCAAAATCCGGCATTTTGACATGAAGTATAATAAATACTGATATCATATAATATTTCATTGCTCGCAAAATACAATTTCTCCTTGTATCCCAATGATTAATGCCTGTTATTTATTTAAAGTCATTTTATTGTTATCCATTCTCTTTACAATACTTAATAATGTCAATTGGTCTAGTTTTAGAGCTTAAAGTTGTATTGTTACTTATAATCGGTGGTAACGTTAAACTTGTCAATTACTAAAATATGTACTTCAACAGCAGCAAAAAGGAAGGACCACTCTATCATTTTTTTTCAAATAAAGCAGTCTTTTCTGTTATTTTTTATTTTTGTTAATATTGAAAATAATCAAACCAACATATAGACGAAGTACAATGTATATACATTCCCAACTCATTCGGTATTCAAGAGCTTGCAGCTGCTAATCAGACTTTATAAAACGTCACCAGTGTCGGAGCAAAAAGTTGATAAACCAGGGTTATGTCGAAGAAGGTCTCATCTTTTTTCTAAAAAAGTTCATCGAAAGATACCAAGACCATGTTAATAAATATTCCGTATCAACTTCACAAATAATACATGATGGTTTTGAAGTATAGATTCTAGGTACTGACGTTGTTCATCACCTAATAATGTGTTATAGTGTTCTTTTATTTGTCTTTGTAAATTATTAACCTTAACTGTTTATATAAATAAGAAGATGTGTTATGAGTGCCAATGAGACAACTATCCATCCAAGTCACAATGTGTAAAAAGTAAACAATAATAGGTCAAAGTACGGCCTTCAACACGGAGCCAGCAAGTTTAGTCCAGTTTTGGTAATATCCTTTTGGCGTGCTCGGTTCTTATACATCCCGCCATTGTGTTATTGTGCTATGGTCATTTTTGTATTCCTGTCTTTCATTTTTGCATATGTGGTTTGTCTATATGCGTTTTTGTTTTTCTTTGTTGACATTTGTTTGTTTTTATAGTGATTAAGATTATAACACAATGTTGACTGCTGTACCCCTATTTTTTGACATTTTTACCTATTATGTCTGTTTGCTTTGTTCACACATTGTTGTCAATATAATGGAATTTTATACGACTGCCATACAAGTGAGAGGTTTATCTAGCTATAAAATCAGGTTAAATCCACCATTTTCTACATAAGGAAGTGCCTAGGCCTGTACCAATTCAGGAATATGACAGTTCTTTTCCATTCGTTTGATGTGTTTGAGGTTTTGATTATGCCATTTGATAAGGGACTTTCCGTTTTGAATTTTCCTTGGAGTTCGGTATTTTTGTTAATTTACTTTTTAGCATACCAAAAAAAGTAGTTTAAAGACGTGTCTTTGAAAACTGTTTGTTTTGTTTGTATATATTGCTGTTGTATAACCTGTCACGGTCGCACGATTATCATCATTGAACTAAAAATGCTTCGTTTTCGTCGTCAAAGAGTTAAAAGTTAAGCAATATTTCTCACATGTGATGTTTCCCTATTTAAATGTCGATGGTCTCTTAAAGATATAGCTCTGGGTATATTTACATCTGAAAACATCGTTATATTTATCAAATTCTGAAATCATTTCAATTACACGTAGTGAAAAAAACATCCATTTTGGATATACCAAAAAATCTATATTCAGAACTTGAACATTAATTTTGTGTTTTTTTTTATTTATTTTTTTTTTTTTTTGCGGAAACTATAGCAGAAAAAGATAAACAATGAATATCAAAAACGATAAGCAAAATAAGCTCCACAAATAAGTCAACGTGGCTAAAATTGTCAGTCAACACCTAATAGGAGTTGATTCCAATGAATGAAAATTTTAATGACAATTTTTTCCTGTTTTTACACGTTTGCTCTAAACTAAAGGAGATAGATAGTGTAGATTGTGCCAGACCCTCATGGGTAGTCAATGTCGTTAAACACCTCGTTGTTTAGTATGAGTTAATTGTCCTTAAATTATGATTTTGACCATTTCTAATATTGCTGCATAATATATAAAAAAAATTATAAAAGATAGACAGAAACTTTGAACAGAACAAAATATCAGCATCACATGATTTACAAACAAGACAAAGTGAAGAAAAGTATCAATCGATTCCTGTCAACAATTGTCGTTCCTAGATTACAATTTCAACCTCAGTTGTGTTTATTAACTTGAAAACTGTAATGGGTAGACAGACACTCGGTCGTGAAAAATTGTGAGCGATACAGACACCTTAGAGAATTTAGTTTTTTCTCATATTTTGTTCATTGTGGAATCTGTCTTTCTTTAAACCATTGTTTTTGATTGCACCCTGGATATTCACTTACCTATTTGCATCTAGCCAATCGGTTTATTTAAAATTATTGCATGACAAATGTAAACTCTTTTTTTCTAAGTAAATAAAACCTCATGTTCTTGTTTTAGATAATCAAAATGTTCTATTATATATTGAATTTCTAATTTTTTCTCTTGCTTCTTTTGGTATCATTTTATGTAATTGAAATAATAGAAATGCTGTTTCTAGTACAGTAAAAGAAGCTTATACAATCAATATTTGTGTTTTTTGTGAAGCAAATATTTTTGTATAATAGCAGAGTAAGCTTTTCCTCCCTTGTGCATATTCAGATCGAATGTTGAATTTTGTATATGACTATTCTGCAGATGACAGTAGATGTTGAAATATTGGATAAGTCAAGCAGCAGTCAACATGGTAATTTCGACATTTCTAAAACACGTTATATCGAGGATCCAACAAAGGTAAACAACATTATCTTAGTAACATTTATTGTTCATATCGAAATAAGCCAATCTGTCCTGCGATTTTTGCCACGCAAATAAATCGTAAAATACAGCCAACATTCATGGATATCCGTACCTATTTTTATCCCTTTTTATCTCGTTAAAAAACGGCCTTTTCCGGTTTATACAAGGTCAGGTCCGATTGAACTTTCTAATGTCATATGTCGTCCAAAGTAACACAAAAGAGGTTATGGCTTTAGCATGACGTTATAAAATTTAGAAAGTGAAATTAATCTTTGACCTTGACCTCAATTTCGAAGCGAGAAAAAGGAAGACAGTATACACATCACCCGCCATGTAAATTCACACTCCGTCAAAAAGTCACAATCGGGAATAGGACACAATCGGTAAAATTACAGATCAGACGAATCTGCTAGTATCTAAAGACCGCGAAAACATGTCTCTAGTGAGTTGAGACATCGACTTACCGTATCGGTCAACCAATTCGTGGTGGTGTCCGACAAACTTAGGTATTGTTGATTTTAGTCGTTTTTCTTTAGAAATCTGTTGGAGCAATTGTTTGTGTAAGGAGCACGCCCCTGTTAATGAATTATATATAGTGTGAAGATGCACGAGCGTAACGTATCAACCGAGATATGTGAACACCATACAATTGAACAGAGGGTATGTTACTGCTAAGAAATGGGTAGTTAACAAAAGGATACATCAAATCAGATTTTTTTTTATTTTTGATATGGCTACATAAATAAAGGCAACAGTAGTATACCGCTGTTCGAAATTCATAAATCGATTGAGAAAAAAACAAATCCGGGTTACAAACTAAAACTGAGGAAAACACATCAAATATAAGAGAACTACGACACAACAGAAACACAACATTAAAATGTAACACACACAGAAACGAACTATAATATAACAATGGCCATTTTCCTGACTTGGTACAGCACATTTTAAGAAAAAAATGGTGGGTTGAACCTGGTTTTGTGGCTAGCCAAACCTCCCGCTTTTATGGCAATGTTAAATATAACATTACAATGACAACATTACATGACAGGACTACAATACAAATAAATGGGAGAACATATAGGACAGAGAAACATACGAATAATAGCTAACAAAAGGTACCAGGTTTAAAATGTAATACGCAAGACGCGCGTTTCGTCCACACAAGACTACAATCATTGAAAAGTTTTCTTAATATACTGTACTGTTTAGACTCTTGCATATTCAAATATAGAATTTCAACATCATTTGTTTTTTAATTTAACCATGTGAGTGAAACATTTTCATGGAAAATTGGTTTTTACTCTTTTATTATCAAATAATAATGATACTATATCCAATTTTAGCAGAAAATGATTGAAAGGAAAGACCCCAACCAAACGTACGACTACGCTGTAACAAAGGTTAGTAATTATTTCGTTCCATAGTTTTCAAAAATAATATAGATTTTGCATTCAAAGACCAAATAAAAACTGAGCGATTCATTACACCTATAAAACAATGATGAAAAAACAAAACTGAAAAAAGGATTTATATTGGTTTTGTTCTTTATTAATAATGATTTAATCGAACATTGACAATTGTTTAAATTTGTTAACCCTTATATGGGGCTAAATGTATAAGCAAGCAAAAACCCATCAAAGTACCATTAATTATAATTTAATACACCAGACTTCGTCAAGATAACACTCATCATGTGCGCTGGAATCAAACAACTTAAAGCCCTCACCAATTAAGCAGTTGAAGAGCGTTGAAACCTGGAAAAAGTTTCGACAAATCTGCCTTAAGCCATCTATGCATTGTCTTACTTAATCTATTTATTGTCTAATTGGCAACTTTAAGGAGTCAAGCAACACAAAAGCATACTTATTTTGGGAATGGGAATGTTAAGCTAAAACATTAATATTTTAGCAACTTGGCAAATTCACCAGTTTTGAAAATTCACCCGTTATTGTTTATGAAATTATTTCAAGTCGTTCCTCATCCACTGAACATTACATTTTGATTATTTAAATTAAAAAATAAGACTTTTGTTAATGTATTTCCTTTTCATTATATTTGATTCAGATAAATAGTATAACCTATTTGAAAACCGAAATCTCAATATTCTCAGCAAAGCAAAAAAATATCTTATGTCAAAATCATACCGAAATGCCGAAAAAAATATGTTTAAAAAGATGAAAAAAAAAGAGGATTATTAAAATTACAGAACAGAATTTTGCTCCTAAGCAAAAAGCCAAAATTTCATGTTTAATACAGTATGAAATTATAATGTCTTAAGAAAAAAATGTTTGTTTAAGTCCTTATTTTTAATGAATAGGCAGATATTGTGGCTTCTTTGATTTATTACTGGAGTTTTGTAGCACTTAATTACATGACAGTATAGATATTTGATGTATGTAAATGATATTTTATCTCCACAAACAGATTTCAGATGCAAGAGGCAATCAGACGTACGACTATGTCGACCTAGAAACTATCAAGGTATTTACTGATACATAAATATATTTTCTTTTGTCAAAAACACTGTATATAATATGTGTTTCTAGTGCTAAATTGAGATCTGATTTTCAACCTAATAAGTTTCTGATACATATACAATATTAGGTCAATGTCAGAAAAATATAAACTTTTTTGTATGAGGCTGAGAAACTGGGGAAGGGAGAGGTTTTACCGAGCCCTTCCTCAGTTTTGTGCCGAATACAAAAAAGTTTATATTTTTATGACATTGACCTAATATTGTTTTTATACTGCAACTTGAATTAAAACATTGATAGCTATTTAAATTGTTGCACAAATTTCAAACTTATTCTCATCCCTTAATGAACCCCTGATTGTGGAAAAAGTGTTCCATGATGAAATTGACATTGCACAAAATAAAGCTGTGTTACTATAATTAGGAAATAAACACAACTGGTTGCAGTATAAATGAATTTCTATGGCAAAGGCAATAAAATATTTAAGTTAGCAACTTTAAAAATGTATTTTACAATTTCTAGATCTGGTCCCTGGATATCGCTTTTCATCATGTTTTAAACGAACGTTTATCATAGACTAGCGTCATGAAGATGACAACAGTAGTGAGTGTCCTTTTTCCCTTAAGTATATAACCAAAAGTTTAGATTCAAATCGTTACAGTTTTCAAACCACTAGAAAATATTCTATACTTTCAGAAACTATCATCTCAAAATGATACCGGTTATGTGAATGAGGAAAGGGAAGTCATAGATAAAACTCAAACAGATAAAACACAAACGTTTGTGGACAAGGTAATAACTTATTTTTTAATACTCAATTTCTGCATCTTATCAAATTCAAACGTTTGCCAGTTATGGTTTTTAGAAAATTAAGATATGTCAAAAGGAAGTAAATAAAGGTGACTGGCGCCTTAGCTATGGGTTTTGCTCATTGTTGAAGGTCGTACGGTGACCTATATTTGCTAACTTCTATGTCATTTTGTCTCTGGTGAAAAGTTGTATAATTGGCAATCTAATTTTCATTATACACCATATCATTTCCTTGCAAATATAGCATGCGTTTTTTACATTTTAAGACAGATTTGATGTGACTCTTTCCAGTTCCAAAATAAGGGGGCTCGGTAAGGGATAAGAAGCTCAAATTGATATTGAATCTTAATTTGTTTTTGATTGATCATATATTCAGATTATAGAATGTATCTTTGTTTTCACTTAGCTTTGGTATTTTTCTTTTTTTTTATTTTAAATCTTGCTTTTTCAAAGTCTTCATTGACATCAAAAGCTGCTCCATGTATACACCTTTGTCAAATACTGGGACATGCTTCTTCTTAGTTCTGTAATCTACTTTGACATTAGAATAACACATATTTTTTTTACTACAATTAATCTTAAGAAATCTTGTTTAAAAATTATGTGAATTTTCAAAACCTATCCGTATTTCAAAATTTCACATACCGGAAAGTTTAAAATTTTTAAAGACCCAAATGTTGCAAAACACTTGTCCTACCTCCATGGCAAATATGTTGTTGGCCTCGCAGATAAAGCCCAAAACAACATCGTTTTTGTGTGTAAATATCATTACATAGACTGCTTGATAAATGAATTAGGTATTGACAATTCACTTGGAAACTCAACATATACCCTCATGACACTTACCAAAGAAGGAAATCCTGGATAATCATAGGTCTGTTCTATGTTCCTTTGGAATTTCAACCAAAGATGAAGAACTGGATCTTCCATCACAGTATTGGATACCTAAACTACATAAGTGTCCTTACAAACAACGGTATATTGTTGGGTCTTCCAAGTGCTCCACGAAACCTCTTTCTAAATTATTAACATCTATTTTATCAGCAATCAAAGCCGGGCTCCAAAGTTATTGTGAAACTGCCTATTCTAGAGGTGGCGTGAATCAGATGTGGATACTAAAAAATTCCAAAGATCTTTTAGAGTACATACAATCTAAGACTCTCTCATCTTGCAATAGTATTAAAACATTTGACTTTTCTACACTTTACACAAGTATTCCCCATTCCAAACTAAAAGACAAATTGAAAGAGTTGGTATTACTTTGTTTCAATAAAAAGAATGGCGAACGTAGATACAAGTATCTTGTCTTGGGGAGGGATAAATCCTACTTTGTAAAGAATCACTCTGATTCAAACAAAAAATTCTCTGAAACTGACATTATCAAGATGCTTGATTTCTTGATTGACAACATATTTGTTACGTTTGGAGGACGTGTTTTTCAACAGACTGTCGGAATTCCAATGGGAACCAATTGTGTCCCTCTTCTTGCCGACTTGTTTCTTTATTATTATGAGGCTGACTTCATACAGGAACTTCTTAGGAAGAAAGATAAGAAGTTAGCAATATCCTTTAACTCTACGTTCCGCTATATAGATGATGTTCTCTCACTAAATAATACAAAATTTGGTGACTATGTTGAACGAATCTATCCCATCGAACTAGAGATAAAGGATACTACAGATACAGTTAAGTCTGCCTCATATCTTGACTTACATCTAGAAATTGACAATGAGGGTCGGTTGAAAACAAAACTTTACGACAAAAGAGATGATTTCAGCTTCCCAATTGTGAACTTTCCATTTCTATGTAGCAACATTCCAGCAGCGCCTGCATACGGAGTATATATCTCCCAATTGATACGATATTCCCAGGCTTGTGTTTCCTATCATGATTTCCTTGATAGAGGATTGCTGCTCACAAGGAAGCTGTTAAACCAAGAGTTCCAAATTGTGAAGTTGGAGTCATCCCTTCGTAAATTTTACGGACGCCATCACGAGTTGGTTGACCGTTATGGAATAACCGTTTCACAGATAATATCGGATATGTTCCTTATGTCGTAACTACAATACCCTCCCTTTTCACGAATGTGATTTACCGAATTAGACTATTTACCGGATTTGTAATACCATAAGCAACACGACGGGTGCCACATGTTGAGCAGGATTTGCTTACCCTTCCAGAACCCGAGATCACCCCCAGTTTTTGGTGGGGTTCGTGTTGCTTAGTCTTTGGTTTTCTATGTTGTGTCATCTGTACTATTATTTGTCTGTTTGTCTTTTTATTTTTGGCCATGGCGTTGTCAGTTTGTTTTAGATCTATGAGTTTGACTGTCCCTCTGGTATCTTTCGTCCCTCTTTTACATATACAGATGGTTTATAAATTTAGTGATGTCTTAGGGTTACCTTTTCGCTGTTGTTGGATGCTTCATTACTTACCAAAACTCATTAACGTATTATAACACGAGGAGCATGGCAGTTTTTACTAGTTGAGCAAAAGCTTCTGACCCTGCCGGAACAGCTGAGTTCAACTAGGTTTTATCAAGAATTAGTGTTGATCAATTTTTAGTTTTCTGTGAAATATTCTGAGAACTGTTGTTTTGTCTTTTGGTCGTTTTGCATTTGGCAATGAAGTCTATTTTTCTTCGACTTATGGTTTTTCTTTCTCTCTTGGTCCTTTTTCTTCTTTATTGAAAAATCAAAATTTTATAAAAAATGATAAAACATATATGTTGATAATAAAAACGTTTCACACTTTTAGAAACATGAATCTGAGCAAAAACAACGAATAATGATTGAAGTACAAAGTGGCACAGACAAAGCTGTAATGGAAACAACTTATACTAATAAGAACCAGATATACATTGTCGGAAAATATAAAATTTATTTGTGCGAGCTTTAGAAGCAGGACGAAAAGCGAGGCTCGCCGAGCTTTTCTCTTGTTTCGTAGCGAGTAATGAATTTTATATTTTCTGACAATGTAAATATTTTGTTTTTATCCTGCAATCTATACACGGCACTTTAAGGTGCAGTTGTATAAATTCAAAAAGTGGTCTCATAGTTTAAATATACTCATCATAGATACCAGGATTAAAATTGTGTACGCCAGACGCGCGTTTCATCTACATTAGACTCATCAGTGACGCTCGAATAAAAAAAAGTTAAAAGGCCAAATAAAGTACGAAGTTGAAGAGCATTGAAGATCCAAAATCCCGAAGGTTTTGTCAAATACAGCTTAGGTGATCTATTCCTGGGGCAGAAAATCCATAGTTTTGGAAAATATCAAAGTTTGAAACGCGGATCGCGAAGAGGACCCAAAAATTAACTGTCACACAAAGAGAAATATTTACATTACCGTTTGCTCAATATGGAAGCGGAGTAATATGAGACTTTATTTGTACAAGTACAAATAAAGCAATAAATTATTTGTGCAATGGGTGGCTGATTGCAGGTTGAAATGTGTTATAGATATTGGGCCATTTCAATGAGAGTATCCTAGGATTTGTCCTAAGATATGTCTATGGGCATTATTTATGTCTTAGGGTGTAAAACAAAGCTATATTAGAACAGTCATACTGTAGCTACGATTGTCCTAGGACCATCCTAACACATTTATGTAATTAATAGAAATATGTAAAGAATTAGATGAAATATATTTCAATGTATTTCAGTATATATGTAAAGGGCTGGAGGTAGCATATTTTATGGAGAAAAAATATCACGCAAAATAAAGTTTTAACGTTATACTAATAAATACATTATTATTAACTATCAAAAATGATAAATAAACAAACATTAATTAACAACTAAACTAAATTGTCACAAAACTTTGTTTGAGGCTAACATGGTGCTGCAATTTAAACTATATAAGCTAGGCTTGTCCTTAGGTCCACTCGATTTCATTGCATGTATTGAATCAGCCGTAATAAGAAAAGATGTCCAATTTTTTCTCAAACCGAAATTAAAATGTTTTCTACATTTCAATTATTGTTGTACAATTTGGTCAGGTGCAACACATGTTGCTAATATTGATAGAACTTATAAGCTTAAAAAAAACGCAGCACGAATTATTTTTGAGAGTAAAAATAAAGTAGTGACTGTACTTCACCAAATGAATACGGAATATCTCAATGTATTTAGATATGTGCATCAGGTAAATTCTAGAACAACCAGATAAAGTACTTGTAATATGCTTTTTTGATTCAAAAACGAAAAAATTAATACGATAACTCTCCTTGTTGATATCTGAAAGTATTTTAATGGAACAAGTTGTCTTCAAATTTAAAACAATGTAACACCATTGAATCTTTTAAAAAACATATATTAAAGAATATTTTGTTTACTCCTAATAACAGTATAATAGTTTAATATTTGTATAAGTATTCTTATTATTAAATTTATACTTTATGTTGTAATGTATGTATAAAATGCAGGACCTTATTGTAAACTAGTCTTTAGACTAAATATGTTAAACTGTAGGATAAAGGAAATAACTATCACATGTATTATTAAATTCTGCTTGCCGAAGTAAATAAACATATAGAAATTTTATTCAGCAAACTATCAAATGTGGCGGCGAATAATATTAAGTAGAAGACATGGGATAGTATCTACACAAGGATAAATTCTTCAAATATTGACTGAAGGCCATATTTGTTGATTATCTTGTTTTTATTTCGACAAAGGACATAGTTACTTTTATGACTATCTATCCTAAGACCATCCTAAGACAACTATGTTTATATCCTAGTTTTAGGACCAAATTTAATACATATCTTATTTTAGGAGACTTTCATTAACCTGAATTAGGAATAAGATGTGTCCTAAGACCATCCTTAGACATGTCCTAGTCCTAAAGCAGCTTCGTTGACACGGCCCCTGAGATGTAGAGTCTAGAAAAATTTACTTTTTTGTGGAAAACACGATTATTTAATTCTTTGTATTAATAACGATTTAAAAAAAATTATGGAAATTAATTTTTGTATAATATAATATAATTTGTTTTCAAACAATATATTCATATTTAGAATGAAAAAGACTTTAAGATTGCTAAAACTATTCAGCATTTTGTTTTCTTCAAATAACACATACAACAAAAAAGCAGCTACTGAAAAATGTAAAATTTGGATGTGAAAAGGCAGAACTTATATGGACATTTTGTTTTCAAAATTGGAAATTTATAAATCATATTTTGTCCGTCCGTATGACCCTGTGTCTATTTTTTAACGAGATGATTATCTGCATACGGAGTATATATCTCCCAATTGATACGATATTCCCGGGCTTGTATTTCCTATCATGATTTCCTTGATAGAGGATTGCTGCTCACAAGGAAGCTATTAAACCAAGAGTTCCAAATTGTGAAGTTGAAATCATCCCTTCGTAAATAGTACGGACGCCATCACGAGTTGGTTGACCGTTATGGAATAACCGTTTCACAGATGATATCGGATATGTTCCTTATGTCGTAACTACAATACCCTTCCCTTTTCACGAATGTGACCTACCGAATTAGACTATTTACCGGTTTGTAATAACATAAGCCACACGACGGGTGTCACATGTGGAGCAGGATCTGCTTACCCTTCCGGAGCACCTGAGATCACCCCCAGTGTTTGGTGGGGTTCATGTTGCTTAGTCTTTAGTTTTCTATGTTGTGTCATCTGTACTATTATTTGTCTATATGTCTTTTTATTTTTGGCCATGGCGTTGTCAGTTTGTTTTAGATCTATGAGTTTGACTGTCCCTCTGGTATCTTTCGTCCCTCTTCTGAAAACATTTAATGATCATATATTTGTTTATGACGAAAATTTCAACGGTTGGTCAGTATGATTTCAGAAATATTCCAATGAAAGTTTTTGTGTACAAAATATAAAATTTTTCACTATGATTACAATAATTACTTCACACTATTATTGGCTTTTAAACAGTTGAACCTACTGTAATGTCTCAAATTTTTCAGACGACTCAATAAAGAATAAATATCGTAAAAAAGCTTCTATTTTATATGTGCTATCTCTTCCAGACTCGTAAGAAAAAACTACAGCAAAGTGCACCAAAAGTTGGCAAATCTGATGAAACAATGAAGTCCGAAACAAAAGGTGCATTCGAGACATCTAAGCGTCCAGTTGGTAAAGAAAAAACACATAGGGCGGAGAGAGGTGCAAACAATTCCAAGAAAGACTGTGTTAATCCTTTAAAAAAGAAAGTTGACGTAAACAGGAGTACAGAAATGACATCTCAAAGTGATGTATACATGGACATGAATCAGACTTCGTGTTGTCAATCACAAATAGAACAACATTCGGAGAAAAGAAAAACTAGTGGTCCACGACATAATGAATTAGGGTCTTATGGATATAAATCTTCTCCCAATATTCAACAAAATTATGAAAATGTTATCTTGAGGCAAGCAGATTCAAACGAGAAAGGAATAGAAGGAGAAAATTTAGAATCAGATTATGCAAATATATCGGATACAAGTCCTACTTCTTCAGTATCAACAGATTCAAATGCTACAGATTCGTCAATAAGTTCCAATGAACTATATGGAAACACAATAATATACAAAGCTAAAAAAGTAAACATTATAAAAATGTATTCAGTCAACGATGAAATGTGAAACGTAACAATCAAAGGTTTGATAGACGCAGTTGCATGTGGAATTCAGATATCCAAGTTGACAGAATATTCTGGTGCTTGTGTTTTATTGAACAAAGGAAAAAGCAAAGTGAAGATTTTTTCTCAAATTTTTACGGTAACCATTTTATGATTTGGAATGTCTGTGTCACGGATGGCCAAAAATGTGTTCCTCTTGCCATAGCAACAATCCTGTTTTCCTTTCCTCGTTGATGACATCACCTAATGTGACTTTTTTATACAGATTTTTACTTAAACACGCATGTTTTAGTCTTAGATGCATGATTTTCATTTTTATTAGTTGTTATTGGCATTGAACTAGCTGTCAGTAACTGCAAGTACTCTTAGATCTGTACTTAGTGTCGTTTTTGTTGTGGGGATGTATAAACATCCGGTCACGTCCGGTCTGTGTTTTTGTTAAATTTTTTCTGCTTTGTATCGATCTGATCAGTTAAGCCCTTTTCAACTGATTTGTATAGTTTGTTCTTATGTTGTACTGTTACACTACTGTCCCAGGTTAGGGGGAGGGTTTGGCGCCAGCAAACTAATTTAATACCGCCACAATCTGTATGTGCCTGTCCCAAGTCAGAAGCCTGTAATTCAGTGGTTGTCGATTGTTGATGTGTATCATATTTCTGTGTCGTTCATTGTTTTTTACATGAATCAGGCCAGTAGTATTCTCGTTTGAATTGTTTTACGTTTGTCATTTCGGGAACTTTTATAGCTGCCTATTTGGTATGGGTTTTGCTCATTGTTGAAGGCCGTGCGGTGACCGATAGTTGTTAACTTCTATGCCATTTGGTCTCTGGTGGAGAGTTGTCTCATTGGCAATCATACCACATCTTCTTATTTTTATATGTTTGCCATTTAGTCTAGTGAAGCACTTAACTTTGTGGAGCACCAGAGTTTAACTTTAGATTCATGGTTTGTATTACTTTTGCTCGTTAGTTGTCTGTTGTGATATTTTATTTTTAATGTTTGTTTTCTAGAAATATTTGTCATAATCTTGCCTGCATTTTTCGTTGATTAACTACATTTTAAGACTTCTTTAGACTGTTTATTATAAAAATTAACATGCAATGTTTTCCATTGCATTTGTATTTATGTATATTTCGAACCCTATAGTAATATTTTTGTTGGCAACAAATGAAGTGTTGCATGTGTGTGTAATCGTCTATTCTAATTATTATACATCTAATCGCTTGGCTGATTGTTAATGCATATTAAAATGACATTTTAAAAGAAGAAAAAATAATTACAGCTGTGATGTCTCCCTTGACCTCTAACTGGAAGCCATTTTTCCGTTCTAGCAATCCCGTAGGACGTTTCAATGTACCTTTAAATTCTTTCGGATATGTTTATTTACTTGTTCTTATTTACAAGAAATTGAAGGAAAGTCATGACAAAAAGCGTATAAATCCTACAATAAAGATAATTGAAAAAAATAAGACGTCCTTCCTGCTCGAATCATATCAAAAAAGAGAGGAGAAATATACTAAAGGGACATTCAAACTGATAAAACGCCATGACATAAAAAGAAAAAAGACCAAAAGACAAACAACAGTACACAAAAAACATAACATAGAAAAACAAAGACTGAGCAACACGAACCCCACTAAAAACCGGGCGTAATCTCAGGTGCTCCGTCGTGTTGCTAAAAGTATTCATTCGCCAGACTCTTAGTCAAGGCCCGTTAAACTACAATGATAAGTTTTATGTGTATTTTAAAACATGTGTTACTATTTTCTCTTTGCCACAGTGTCGTTCGTCTTAATCGACTAATAGTTTTTTAATCATCCCTAAGTGTCTTACTTATTTGGTCAAGGTCCATCCTAGATACTTGAATATAAGTGTAGCGTATTTAGATTTATAGTGCCATCATAATGTTTGTCATAATTATGACATAAAATCTCGGGAGACGGGTTTATAAAAAAAATTCCAAACTTGCTTCCGAATCCCATATTTGACTGTATGTAAAATTGTACTATTATATTTTTCAATAATAAATACTGTTTGAACTAACATAAAAATCTTCAATTCTATGTTGATAAATTAAGGAACTCCGACAATCATATCTTAACTTATGCAGAATTGTCTCAAGAAATTAAATTATTTATACATCCTTGGTTATCATTTTTGTTTTGGTTTCAGTGTTCTTGGTGAAGTCCAATCGTTAAAAGCGATTCAGACGAACTTAAAATAGTTATTTTTATTTCTTTGCGTTTGGTCGATACCACTGCTGGTGGACTGCTAGTCAATCAGCTGCTCATTAGCTCAGTAGTAAGATTTCGGTATACTTACATACTTATAAGTAACATTTATTATCAAATTATAAAATTTAGATTAATTTGAAATGTTCGGCAAAATTGACTTTAGATGGATTTCGCTTTTCTTGATCATATACCTACTCAAGTACTTGTACATCCTTGGCCTTGATTGTTTTGGATTGTTCCTGGTGATGGTGAATCAAGAAAAGAGCTTCATACGAACTAAATTATAGAGGGTTTTTTAGCAGTCAAATTGTAATGACTGTAAAAATAAGGATTCGTTACGTGCAAAGAGCGTGGCACTCTCTGGGCCATCTACGCCTAGTGATAGAAAAACCTCAGTGTTAAGAATGATACAAAATTTTTATCAACAGTAAATTTACAGAAAATGACCGCAGTATTAGCCTATTTACTGTCGGCACAGGTGCACTCCCTGGACGGCGTGAGATACCCTGCGGACGAAACGTACATCAGCAGTATATCAGCAGTGACATTGACCCAGTGGTAAAGATACCAGGTTGATAATTGTAACCCAGTAGTTTAAAATCAGACTAATAAATAACTTAATGATAAATGGCAAATTATAAGATGAGGTATGAATGTCAATGAAACAAGTATCCACCAGAGACCAAGGCATGTGAATGTACGTAATTGTAGGTCACCGTTAGGCCTTTAACAATGAGCAAAACACTCATACTACATGGTAAGTTATAAAAGTCCAAGGCATGACAAATTTCAATACATTTCAAACGAGAAAACCAACGACCTAGTTTAAGCAAAAACAATAAAAGACTTACACATTTGGATGTCAATAACCAGCAACAAACACTGAATTGCAGGATCTCCTGACTTGGAAAGGCAAAGAAATGATGTGGCGGGTTAAATGTCTTTGTGAGTGCTCAACCCTTCCCTTAAACTTGGTCCATGAAGTAACAGAACAATATAAGAATAAACATTAAATATCAGTTGAAAAGGTCGGGATTCACTTGATAGACACGAAGCAAATACAATAATACCTCGCAAGACATTTTGCACAAGACATTCCCTGATATTCAAATGTACAAAATAGCTTAAAATGGAAATTACCATTACCAAGACAATAACCGAAAAGGAAATCCTAAATAATAATACGTATGTTCCATGGTCCTTTGGAATTTCAACCAAAGATAAAGAACTTGATCTTCCCTCTTTTTGTTAGATACCCAAATTACTTAATTAAGTGTCCTTACAAACAACTCTATATTGATGGGCCATCTAGTGCTCCTCGAAACCTCTTTGAACAGCAATCAAAGCCTTCAGAGTTATTGCGAAACTACATATTCTAGGGTTGATTTGAATCAGATGTGAACACTTTAAAATTCAAAATATCTGTTATAGTACATCGAGGTAAGTCTCTTTTCTCTTGCAAGAGAATAAAAACAGTTGACTTTTCTATCCTTTCTCTAACAATTTTCTTATCGAAAATTATCGAAAGAATTAATTCTACTTTTTCATGAAAAAAAATGTCCAACGCAGATACAAACATATTTTTGAGGCAGGGAAAAATCATACTTGTAAAAAAAAACACTCTGATGCAAACAAAAAAATACTCTGGAACTGGCATTATAAAGATGTGCCCCTCTTCTTGTTGACTTGCTCCTTTATTCATATGAGGAAGATTTCTTAAGTTAGCTTGTAACCAAATATTCCTTATCCTTTAACTTGACGTTCCGCTATATAGATGATGTCTTCTTACTAAATAAGTTTGAAGACTACGTTGAACGGATCTACCCCATCGGACTTCAAATAAAAGATTAAACAAATACAGTTAAGACCGTCTCAAATCTTGACTTACATCTAGAAATTGACAATGAGGGTCGGTTGAGAACAAAACTTTACGACAAAATAGATGATTTAATTTAGCTTCCAAATTGTGAAATTTCCCTTTCTATGAAGCAGACTTTCAGCAGTGTCTGCCTATGGAGAATATTTCTCCCAGTTGATACAATATTTTAGAGCATGCACTTCCTATCATGATTTCCTTGAAAGAGGGTTGCTGCTAACAAGGAAGTTATTAAACCAAGAGTTCCAAGTGTTGAAATTTGAGTCATCCCTTGAAAATTTTTAGGAGCAGGATCTGCTTTCCCTTCTGGAACAACATATATCATGCACGGTTTGTTGTGGTGTTTAGTCTTTAGTTTTCTATGTTGTCCCTGTAAGCATCAAATAATTTCAAAGAAAAATGATAAATGCATACTCCAAAATTTCCTTTATGTATATATCAAGGGTTGTTTTTTTTTTTTGTTGGTGCACTGATAAAAAAATAACTTTTATTTCAAAAGTTGAAGTAATGGCTGCCATAGAAACAAACTTAAAAAACGTTATAAATGTTAAATGAAAAGTCCGTTTTTCATGTGTTTCCACTGTTCTTGTTACAAAATCTGAACATATATCACCACTGCTTTTTCTGTTGTTCAAAAAAACATGTTAGTTTCATAATAATATTTGAAAGTTGGAAACTTTAAAGTAAAAATTTTAATTGTATGTATTTTGTGTTTTTAAAAACATCATGATCTGCAATTCAAAATTCAAATAAAAAAATTCTTATGGCTAAAAATGCATCCCAGTGTGTGTGGCATTAACTAATATTTACTTTAAAATGTTGAAGCTGCTGCTTTATTGACAAAAAAATCTAAGAGTATATATGTTTTTTGGGTTTTTTTTTTTTTTGGTTTAGAACAGTCAATGGTTGGACTCTGTTAATGTTTATAAAGAAAGGCAACAGTAGTATTCCGCTGTTCGAAAGTCGTAAATCGATTGAGAGAAAACAAATCCGGGTTACAAACTAAAACCGAGGGAAACACATCAACTATAAGAGGAAAACAACGAAACAACAGAAACACTGAAGTGAACAAAAAACAAACGACAATGCAACACACACAGAAACGAACTATAAAAGAGACGATTTTTCATTCCCTATTGTTAATTTTCCTTTTTTAGACGGCGATGTTCCTTTGGCTCCATCGTACGGT